AAAACGAGAAGATATACCTTCATGCCACGCATGTGACACTCCATTTACAGTGGAGCATTTTTTAATAGAATGTTCCGATTTTAAACACATTCGTGATAACTACTTCCGAGTCCCGGATATGAAAACACTTTTCAGTTCCATGGATTCGAAGGCATTATTTAACTATTTGAAAGATATCGGTCTATTTTATAGACTCTGATGTCTTTTAACCCACCTTACCATTTTTATATCACATATTCCATATCATCTATTCGTTATCTCTTTTATTATTTTAACCCCACTTTTTTATTTTTTTATTATCTACACATACAATGCGAATGCTTTTAATTAAAATGAACCATTTTATCTGATTTTATCTTCGCTATTCACATGTTTGTAAAAAAGTAAAAATATAAAATAAATCACCATGGCCCTAAATGACCACAGCCGTCGATGGGCCGTTAAACATAAACAAACAAACAAACAAACAAACAAACAAACTAGATGCAAAATGTTAAAAGGATTGCTGAAACTAGGTTTTCACATAACAGCACAAAAAGGTTTTACACAAAACATCTGTCTCTGAATATTTGAAAATGCTTGTCACTTATTTCCCTTTTCCTCTTTGCATTTATTTTGTTTCCAGGAAATGGGATTTTTTTATTGATTTAACCCTTTGTCATTTATCTAATTATCTTAGGAACATGTATGATTCTTCATAATAGGATTAAAAACCTCTAGAATGATCTCCTATTTTTGTTTTTAAGCATGCATGTACTGGGTAGTAATGTGTAGGAGCTACCAGATGGATGCTTAGTCACGTCACATCCATCCTTGGCATTGAAACTGCTCAAATCCTGGGGTGGACCTTAACATTGATCCCAAACTCACGTGTTGGCTATACGGCTGTGAACTTGACTTTATAATTCCCAAAACAGTTGGTAACTAATTTATTTTGAGACATGAGGATGCTGGTGTCATGAGCAGCTTGATCAATATCAGAAAGGTACACCAACAAAACTATCCTGCCACGTGGGAGGACGAAGGCATGTAGGAGAGAATTCACGTGTCGGAAAATGTGAGCTAGCTTTTTGAGGGAGTGCATGCTACGTAGACTGATCCCATGGATAGACAGAATGACTTCCGACTCCCACACGACATGGGAAGGGGAGTACCTGTCCAATGATGGATGCCAAATTTGGGGGAAATGGGGGTTGATCATTCTTGCATTTTAGTAGTGAAATATTGTACATTGGAACACCATTTTGTGTAGGCCAGAATGAGCTTGTGTGTCATATGCTATTTTAAGCTGTCCAACAGTAAATGCGCCTTGTGGAACTTTTGAACAAGACTCTATACTGCTGTGTTTGGCATCATCCTTTCAATTGATCAGGAAAAGATGGTTACCAAGTGATCATCTCTTAATTTTGACAGGTCAAGTTTGTTACCTGGTACATTGCAATTTCTCAAGATATTCAGATGGATATTTTTCAAATTTCATGCAAAGGTTCCCCTTGGTCCTTAGTATTTCATGTTTCGTTTTGATAATGATCAGAACAAGATGGTTGCCATGTGACAACCTACATTTTGACAGTTACTGTGTACTTGATATCTCACAAATCTCTCAATAAAATGTAGTTTATAGTGAAGGATCTTTGTACCACTGCAGAAATCTGAAACTACGATTTTTTAACCTGTGTGACAACAGCTTTAATAAATCAGTTCTGAAAGAAACTCATACCTTGCTGATTTTTTGCGAAAAATTAAAATAATAAGAATGAATATTAAGCAAAAAAAACAAATAATAACATATATCATCAAGTGTTCTGGGAGAAAGGGGAAAAAAATGGTTTGTACCCTGGACCTCTGATCAGTAATGGTCATAACCAACAGGGCCACGTAGTCAGTTTTAGAACTTGGCCCAATTCGACTACACACATACTTGGGTTACGGCAGATTACTGTATGTGTTAAAACACTACAGTGGAATTCTCTAGTGTCCTGTAGTGGGACAGGGTTCCTTAAACCATAGTATCAAAGTAGGAGTTGGACACGGCCTCATTAGATCTGGTCTTGGTGTTCATTAATCTATTTTAAAGGATCAGATGTCATACTTAACAACATCAGAGGTTGGTATCAGGTCTTTTTTGAGACCCATTCTGATTTTGTTTTTTATTGGTGGGAAATTGGCACCAAGCAGAAACAATTAGTCCGTGCTTAACGAAGGTTTATACATGAGGCNGGAACGGACTATGAATATGGGGATAGCGAGGTAACATAAGTGGAAGTGCATACAATACATACATTCATTAAAAAAAAAACGCCTTTTCACGTGATGTCCCTTTAAGAGCAGCATTACAATTGTTGCCATGGTCACAACTAATCAGGCACATATGTAAGGAGGGTAAAACGTGAGGAAGGCAAAACGTTAGATCACTTTGCCTTTAGCTGTGAACACATACAGCAGACTATTGATTGGGCTTAGTGATTTCGTCGTCACTGACTCCATCCGTTCTGGCCTCGTCAAGTCCTTACTGTATAGGTTCAGTGTAGCAATATTTGTCATATTGTTATAAGCTTTATCAACTCATATAGATGCTCTAGCAGCAGATGTATGTCACAGAGACAGATCAATTTAAACCAATAAAGGAAACAAGTGGCAAGGGAATTGGAATCTGTATTGTAAAAATGGGCGTTGTGTTAATGTTACATGATCCATTGGAAATAAGCTTTCGGGCTTTCATGGGTTATCCTCATGTTTAAAGATCAATGTTTGTGTTGTATTAATTGTATAAATATAATTACCTATATCTTAAAATCAGTTATGAATTTTAGTTTCATATATAATATAATATTTTAAGATAATACAATATTTTATTACTGACGATAATTTAATGCATGTAGCTATATAGGTTCATTAATATTTGAGCGTCCGGAGAGCTTGTAGGAAGGGGATGCCCAATCACCTGCCCTTGGACTGCCCCAAAAACCTGTGATATTCTGTTAAATATTTTTAGTAATATATATGTATGTTGTACTGTAATATGTATGTCAACTGTCATGTTACATGTGATGTCTATGATCTATTTCCTGAAATAAACATTATTATTGATCACAATGGAAATAATCAAAAGATGTCATTTTGCAAAATACAGATTGGCAAAGAAATCGGCATTTTTCAAAATTCATAATTAGTCAAAGAAAAAACAGACATTGTGATTTGTGTACATATAACATACATCCAAATTGATGTAAAAAATTAAACCCAGGCGTAGGTGTGCCTGCATTATAGAACCACATCATGGAATTTTGTGGAATACATCAAACGTATTTGCTTCGACGAAATGTAAGGGAGGAAAACAGTCGTGCAATGATGTGTGTAAGTGCCTGAGGATATGGCAGTTCTCACTGTCACTGTCATAAGGTACCAATAACTGGCTTCATCTCCAGTAGACAAATTCAAACACTCATGATGATTATGAGAAAGTATCATCCAAATTGGGAAATGACTGATTGATAGGTTGGTTGGGCTGTTTTAGTGATGAAGTAGAATTGACATCATGATAATACATTATTTAATGTAGTTATTGGGGAGGTTTCACAAAACCACTCAACCCACTGCTGTTTTTGATGTACGAATCATTTTATCATCATCAGAAATATCTGAGCCAACATGGTGTTCACACGAAATGCCACAAGATATGACATCACAATGAAGTAGATATTTTCTATTTCCATTAGCAAGCTCATAATTTATGAATCTAAATCATAATTATCACCTGTTGTATCCTTCCTTGAGTAGACAAGATCCCTACTAAGTAAAGGGGGAGTTTATTGTAATTCAATATATACACCACATTTATTTCTACAACTTATTTGATATTGGTGGTCATAGGTCAAGGTTGAAGAATCAAAGATCACACTTGCCTACTTTTGATTGGTGTTTTAAGTTAGATATAAGCCGAAAACTGTCCAATAAGTGAGCGAAAGAACAGGTCTCGGTCCTAACAGGCCTCGACACCTGTCCTTTCTCCTACTTATTAGACAGTTTTCGGCTTATATCCATAACATATGCATGTGTTTATGAACAATAATATGGTTATTAAATGTTAAAAATACAAGAAAGCTGATAATCTATTACTACCAGACATGTTTTTATATGACATTGTAGGTAGCGCAAACTTTGTTTGGACACCTACTACCACACATTGACCATTCCTGTACAATGAGATAAAACCATATAGGTGTGATATTGGGTGTATTACACACATGTACCTAGGTGTGATATTGGGTGTATTACACACATGTACCTAGGTGTGATATTGGGTGTATCACACACATGTACCTAGGTGTGATATTTGTTTGCCTATAATACTTGTTTTAAATGATAATTATCCCGTATTCTAATGTTCTAATGTTTAACCCACCTTACCATTTTTGACATTATATATATATCGCATATTCCATATCATCTATTCGTTATCTCTTTTATTATTTTAACCCCCTTTTTTTTTATTTTTTATTATCTACACATACAATGCGAATGCTTTTAAAATGAACCATTTTATCTGATTTTATCTTCGCTACTCACATGTTTGTTAAAAAAATAAAATAAATAAATAAATCACCATGGCCCTAAATGACCACAGCCGTCGATGGGCCGTTAAAAATGAAGAAACAAACATCAAAAATCTAATGTTCAGTTTGTTTCCTGCAAGTCTTCATTGGAACAATAATGATGATAAAAAATCATGTAACGCTGCTTTAATGAACATGGTTCTAGAATATGCTGATCAGTGCGTGACAACTAATGAGTTCCAGACAAAAGGAGTTCTGTGTAAACGAGGGTCAATACATCATCTTGTATCTCTGTGTAAATTACACAACCTTGTAATGCATCGCCTGAAAACTGTTTCACTCTATAATGATTCAGCAGATTTGTAATAAATACTGTTACCCGAGTCACCCACCAGGTGGTGTTCACTGACACAAATCATCATAATTTCTCTTTGTTTCCAACAGGTGATATTGAATGACAAAAAGGTTACAAGCAAACTTTTGAGCATCTATACACTGACGGCAAGGAAGCACAAGATTACAGAGGCAAGACTGATCAGACAAGCGAAAATTTCTGCAGCTAAAAGTTTTAATGCCACCTTGCCCATTTTGCCCTCGCAGCGAAGACAGCATAGAATCCATCCTGATTGGGTTTTACAACGCAACAAGATGCGTCACATTGAGGACCCCCTTCAGGCCATCAAGTTTGTGCTTGACAACTTCCAGCTCACCCCCAAATGAAGAGGGAAACCTATTTTCAGATTACAATGATATTTCTATATCAAATCAAATAGAAATGTGTCAATAAGTTTGTCAACAAGTAAGAAGAAACTCAATCTTCAGTTTCCTTTACATACACAAGGAACTCAAATTTTACTGTAGAATATCAGACTTTTTGTGTACATGTATAATTACGTTATTTTAAGGGAACTTTCATTTGATTTAAATGTCAGATCTTGATTAAAGTTTTTAGCTTGCTTGTTCAAAGAACAGAAAAGTATTTGCCTGTACATGTCAGTGTGAGTGTTGGCATGAATATTTGGGACAGTTTCTTTGAAGTTCTATCATAAGGTGAAGCCAAACACTGGAACAAAATATAAAAATGTTGATATTTTGTACCCATATTTGGATTTAACTTTTTCTTAGGTACCCTGGTGTATCCACACTTTTACCGGTGTGAGATTTCCTTGTCTCACCCTTAGGGGTGTATACCCAATGGGAGAACAGGTTAGATGTTACAGACCAAACAGTGTAACTACACCACATGTTGCAGCTACACCAGAAAGTCTGCAACATCTATGTAGTTTATTGCTTATATTTTCGATATTTTTCCCTTCAATCCAAAATTAATAAATGTTATCAGCAAAGGCAGGTCAATAACTAGAACAGCAACAAAGGCATAGCTGATATCACAAGCTGTTTCCTGCACAAAATCAAATGATAAAACAAAGATCATTTAATTTCAATTTAAAGAAAATAAGTAAATGTATTCATACACTGCCAAAAGCATTTGCTGTTATGCCTTTATTAATTTATTGCATCATAAAAAGGATATAAATGGATATTACGGCAACAATAGAGAATAATACATGCCTTTTTCAATATCACACCCAGTATCAACCCGAGACTGCAATATCAGCCCGAGGGTTGATACTGGGTGTAATATGGAAAAAGGCATGTTTTATTCTGTTTATTATATACTTACTAATAAAAGCTACTATCTTATGACTATCTTATGATCCATTTTTCTTTTGAAACATTGAGAAAAAAAAAAGGGGGGGGGGGGGGATACGGGTTTTGCATGCTGATACAGGTTTTGGGGTGTGATACGTCGAGGGCTGATATGGGTAAGAGCAATTGTGTCGTATCGCATATACAAAAAAAACATATTCATTAGTAAGTATGTAATAAATGATAATATCATAAGGTTTACTCCAGAAATTGAGACTATTTTATTGAGCCGTTGCAGTTTTATTCTGCTGAGCCAGAAATGCGTAATGGTGTTGTATATTAACACCACTCCAGGTATTTCCCTCTGTCACCAGTCCTATTTATTTCAGTGTTGTTCAGCTCTAGAGAAGCAACATTGAGGACAGAATGATTTAGTTTTCTGTAGTTCGTTTTTGTCCGATGTGTTGTTCATAATTCTATGTGGGGAGGGACAGACCAATGATAGACAACAAGCTGGTGTTATTGTTGTCTACAGCTACACAGTTTATCACTTATGATAGGATGCCAGTATACAATATCATTAACCCAGGATGACTTTATATTCATAACAGGATTTATCCAACATTTCATTGCTAGTTTAAAATTGTCTTTGTATAATTGTCCATTGATTTACACTCCGATTACAGTGAGGATTGTGTCTTTGTAACATTAGAAAAGCATTGTTTGTACGCAAGTTTATTGATATTAAAATTTGCATTCCAGAGAGACATGCAATAACGTCAGTAAATAGAAACTTGCCAGAAGTGGTCACACAATGTCAATATTTATCTTGTTCTATGTTCAATAAGATGTGAAGATTCAAGATATTATGGTTGCTACATTTTTAGGCACAAATGTCAGATTTACACTGTTCACTGTTTTATGTGTCTTGTCAACAAGTCTAACAAGTCATGTTTATGTTCCATTTCAACTTTGTATGTTAATTTGTTAATCTAGTACTTTAATTACATACTAGACATAGTCAAGGCTTGAATGTGTATTAGCTTGTTTTCATGGGCTAATGAAGAGACTGAACTTTTGTGCGAAGTGAACTGAACAGTTCATTGGGGGGAAAATCAAGTCAACTTCCTGGAGTCAACAGAACAGAAAATGTAAATATTTGCAGATAGCACACTAGTCAGTGAGCCTGAGCCTGTAATAGGGGAACGAAACTAAGGATCAGCATGGAATTTTTTTGGGGAACAAATATTCTCCTCTGACAACAAAAGAAGGTTAAATTTTATGTGTCAACCTGTTCTGAACCTTTTCTGTATTTATCACTTTGACTTTCATCACATTCTTCTGTACCTCTCTGGTATACTTATTCTTAATTCCTTCTTCTCACCATATTCTCAAACTATCTTCTGGTATTTGTCTTAACTCTGCTCCTCTGATCTTATCCTCCATTATCTGTATTAACAGTAATGTTTTCTCATCCTACTAATACCAGGTATATTGTAATAATGTTATAGTGTAATGGTTTATATTGTATATTGTATCATGATTGTAATAATGTTATAGTGTAATGGTTTATATTGTATATTGTATCATGATTGTAATACAAGAATCTTGGTTAAACCACAACAAACATTAGGATGCAACAAGATTTCAGAATCCAGGGTTATAAGCTTGAGAAAGTCGAATCAGGAATGTCTATAAATTATAAAATGAAACAATTTGAATTGTTATTAATTTAATTTTAAATACATTGTATTCATTTAAATGTAGAACAAAATGATTTTGATTATTTTATAAATCATTGATGTTTTTACCATTTTAATTGTGTTTTAGAAAAAATATTTTATTTGATTAATATTGTAACCAATTCAGTAGATAATGTTACTTGTAATCATGTTCCATAGGTAATCTTATGCATAGACAGTATTGTAGACAATAATCTACAAGTTCGAAAGACTGATCGGCAATGAGTGTACTTTTATTCTAATGTGAAGCTTCAGCTCATATAGAGGAACTTTATTGGAATCTTGGTATAATTATGATGTTAAGTGTTTTTGTGGATTTTCTTTTCATACAAGAACAAAATGCAACAGAGAATAATTGCAAATATGCTTCAAATAATAATAAAAGATATTACAAATTATTATTTCGTTCATTTTTATTACAGTATTCTGTTATTGATGAAGACTGTCTGGAGCTTTCTAGAAATTATTGACTTTCAGAATGTGACACGTGTCCCATGCCAAACTATATGCAGAGTTACATCCCTTAGTTTATCATGTATCATATAGTGCTCGGTACTGAAATCATGTCTCTTAACCCAATAGACATAGTTAGGGCCCTTTGTTTATTTCTTATCTCAATGTTTAAGACATGTTTTAACCCGTGATAATGAAGTTCCTGAACTCGTGATTGTGCATGAAGAGTTCATGAATGTCCATCTCTCATTCATAAAACTTCTTGAATATCACTTCATGAACATGTTCATCAAAATTCACGAAACAGTCATAATCATTTCAAGGTCATGAACAGTTTTGCAGAGTTTATGAACTATATTCTATAAGCTCGTGAACTGTTTTTATAAAGTACAAATCCATTTTATTTCGTGATCGAAGCTGAGACAGTTCAGGTACACCAGATATTCTTAAAAATTCAAGTTCATGAATGTTATGAACCAAGTTGAGATAAATTTTGAACATTTTTATTAAATCTGACAAGACCCCTCCCAAATAACTATACATACAATTGCCTGGGGTATGGCTGCACCTACGGGGACTCTGTCTCTGGGTCATCACTTTGAAATTATTGCGCATGGAAATTATAATAGGGATATGATATCAGGATTGGCTCTGGGGTCTGCCCTACCCCTGGTGGCTTAATCTCTGGATCGTAATACAAAAATGGTTGAGATCCCCATACCTAAATCAGATATACATCATGCTACCAAAAATGAGTCTTGTGGTCTACCCCACCCTTAGGTACCTAGTCCCTGGTTCAAAACATGGAAACATTTGAGACACACCCTCTCATTGTACATCCTCAACACTCCATGGGTTGTGCTCACTTATGCTCTCTGCATCCTTGGAATATGTCAAAGCAAAATTGAAGGCACGAAGATAGCTGTTTGATTGGTCTCGGGTTAAAAAAAACCTGACCAATTGCTAGGCTGATACATGTCCTTTTATAATAAAAAGGAGCGACACCAGACATCAAAGCCCGACAATTGTTACTGTTACGTGACTGAGAGATTCTTTAAGGATCAAACTAGTTTTCTTGAGCGATCAGGATTTTGGAAATTACTGTTTGAAGTACCAATGAAGTTTTTATAGTGAGCACAAAAGCAGTAAAAAATGGATAATATTGATAAAGACAAATTATTTGAACTTTCGGCCCAAACTTGTGATGATATCCTGTTACACGCTTCCTAGAGGTGGAACAGGTGTTTCGACATATCGCCAAGAAAGCTGGGTCCACGTCCCGAGGCTGGGTACGTTGGTGCTCAGTGCGTATGTGATCATTTTGGGGGTATGATTGGTGCGCGCTGGGCGTCATCGTAGCAGAAGGCTTTCACAGTAGCTCCAATTTGAGCCAACCTGTTTGCCGTGGGTTGCATCTCGTATTCCTGAGGGAAGAAGATCCTGGTAGTTGAACAGAGTCGGAATCACTGTCAAACTCTTGATAGGAAGGAGACATGATCCGACATTCTGCAACAGACTGCTTTGGCTTCGGACTCTGGGTAGACGAGAGGTGATATGGGCCCTCTATCACCAATCGGCTGGTCACGCCGAGCCCTTGGTATACATACTCCATAGAAGGCAGTGGCTTAGGGTCAATCGCGAGAGTATACTCTTTCAAATAGTATGTATATTCTTACGAGTATACTATTCTATGTATCTCCGACACTTGGCGCTGGATATCCGCGTCACACCAGTGTCCCCTTGTTGGGCTCCGTGGCGGGCGGGTAGATCGTGAAACAAACAAAAATACACATGGATAAAGATAAAAACCACCAAAACGACGGACATACCAAAAACCAGAACGATGACTCTAGCTCAAAAACAACACAAAACACAACACAGAACACCCAATTCCCGCAATTCCTTGTGATGACCTCCACAGAGTGGTAAAACAACGGCCGCGTTGTCGCCACTTCTGTTGAGGAAGGGCATCCAGGGAATTGCAGGGGGTTTTGAAATCCGTTAAGCCATTGGGATCGGGCGATCTCCTTATAGAGGTTTATCGCCAACAACAGGCGATGAACCTACTCGGAACAACCAGTTTTGCCGGCATCGGTGTCAGTGTGAAACCACACTCATCACTTAATTGCAGCAAGGGGGTAATCAGGTGCCCAGCCTTGCGCAATGACACCGATGAAGACATACTGGCATATTTCCAGGAGGAGAGCGTCCCGGTCTCTGAGGTGAGGCGGATGGTGATCAGGAGAAACAATGATACTATCAAAACAAACACCTTCATCATCACTTTTTCAACGCCAACACTACCCCA